CTTGAAAGCTGCATCTCTGGGTATGGAAAGTTTTGTAAAAAGTCTTTGTTGGTTATGCAGTTTCACTAGGAAAGCATCCGACTCTCTTGCGCGCTCTTCATCCGACAAGTTCTTGTATTTCTCCTCATGTTTGGTCACGTAGTGGCAATTCAAATTGTAATCCTTGAACACAGCAACCTGTGTACCACAAACTAAGCGCACAGCTTTACCTTTGACTTCTGTAAATAAGTACTTTCCAGTCCATGTCTTGTTGAAAACGCAGCATTTGGCATCAACTTATCTTTTTTTGGCATGAGTTGACATTTTGAGGGTTAGCTGGCCAACATCACCTGTCTCTCACCCGGTAGGTCAGGGATCTTAAGTTCACCCGTGAACTTTTTTCATTCGTGTTCTGATTTGATGGACCTCACGCGGGCCGGACAGGGACACCTAAAGGGCCGGATGTGGACCGCGGGCCGTAAAATGCCCAGGTTTGATGTACAAGATATGGAAGTGCATGCATGGGGGGAAATAAAATAAATATTTACATGCTGATTCTTGCTGGCTGTAGGTGTCCCAGGATAAAAAGTTAGCACAGCATCTGGCTTCAAATTTTATTTATTTAATTTGAAATGTGCCATTCTTCAGAATGACTAGTCGACAGCTACTTTTGATACTTCAAGTGTGCTAATATTTTTGTAGCCTATGTTACAATTTTAATGGAGGATTATTACTTGTAACAGTATTTGTACATAGTAGGTGCTACCTACTTGTACCTACGTTTACTTAAGGATTTAAGTACTTCTTCCCTCAACTTGAAGAGGTAATCCTCTTAATACAGGGATAAATAACTCTGGTCCACACACCAGAAAAGTAGGTGGCGGAAATGCACCTGAACGTTAGACGCCATCAGCCATTAAATAAAACGAAGAAGAAGACGCGATTAAAAGTGAAAACGAAAGGGTAGACGATTATTAACTGCGTCACCAGAGAATACGAAGATATCTGTTTCGTGTCAAGCGGTAAATTTCCTACCAAAAGACACAACATGCCGTCACGCAAAAGGGTAAGTTACAGTTAAAGTTACTGAACCTACCTTGAGATGAAAGTGTATTGACCATTTATCATCTGTTATTTCATTCAATCTTGAAAACAAAAGAAAGGTAGTCGTTTATAGGCCTCAAAAAGATAACTGAAGAACACACTTCTTGTTTTCATACTATAGCGTGGAATCAAATACACAATTATTGCATATAAACGAGGGTCTGGCTGCTCAGGGGGCTTTGTATGAAATGTTGCCACCATGTGCTTTTTTTTTCTAGTAGTAGAGTGCTCTCTAGAGACTTTTTAAAACTCAGTCTTGGTAAATCTTGTTACCTGAATGCTTTACCTGCATGCTTATATTTTGGCTTTTAAATAGACTATAGATTTGTTTTTTCACTCATTCTGTAATGCCAAAAACAGCTTAAGAAGAAATGAAACAACTACGAAGTATGACTTCATATGAAATCTTATAGAAAAAGTTGATTTAGCCTATTTCTTTAACGTTTATTTATCCAGTAAGGATCCCTTGCGATCCACCACTAACATGGGCAAGGGTACCTGGCAGCAGACAAGGGGCCCGTTTCAAGAAGGAGGTTTTGTTGAAACTCAGAGTTTGTTAACCCTGAAATGAGTGAAACTCTGAGTTTTCGGTTTCAGAAACGGAGGTAACTTAAACCCGTGAAAGCGGGGTAAGTTAAATCCGTTTCAAAAAGAGAGGTAATCTAAACTCAGAGTCAGTTACTATGGCAATTTACTCTGTGAACCTAACCTGCTGGCGAGCAGGTTTTGTTCGGGAAACCCAGAGTTTCCTCCGGGTCTCCGCCCCTTTTTAAAGTGAAAGGTGTTTAATACCTCATTTAATCTTTCAGTACATTCATAGATTGCACACGTTTCCGTCACGCAGAGACCAAAATGGCGTGTCCATTCATAGAGGATCCTGTAGATGAGGACGCTGTATTAATTCGCAGGGAATTGCATTTACGTCGGGAGAGGATATTGAGGCCACGAGTTGATTTTTTGTCATATCCCCATGTATTTTTATTTGAGCGGTACCGTTTTTCTAGAGAGTCCATAACATATATCAATAATCTTATCCACCCATACATCAGACACATCACCCATCGTGGCCGTGCGCTTACATCCGAGCAGATGCTTTGTGTTGCGTTACGATTTGTTGCAAACGGCAGTTTTCATTATAACATCGGGGATGCAGAGCACATTAGTAAGGCCACAGTACGTAGAATAGTTCG